ATATATATATATATATATATATATAAATGATACAAAGTTATAAGTGGTAAAATACGTAGCAATAATTAAAAATGAAAAGCAACGTAATAAAGTTAAACTAAATTAAAAAATAAGCTGTTAATTAACTAGATTAACATGTATAAATCATTATGGCTTTATTTTCTTAGGTAACAAGCCGTCAACATATATCACACGCATAACGAAACCTATGATACTATGATGATCATGATGATGATAATGGCCAATAAAATCAATTTATCCAGATAGAGTTTAAATTGAAATTTCTGAATAAGAAAATAAAACATGGAGTGCATGTAATTTCCTTTTTCTGGACTTATGATTGATTCTCTTTTAAGATATTTTATTTCATTCAACTCAAATTAGGCCTTTTCACGTTTTATTTATTGCCAATTACTCTTATCTTATGCCAAACTCAAACCACACTCAAATATATAGTACCCTTGTCTTGTGAGAGATGGAACTAACTTAAATGATTTCGCCAATCATACAATCTTGTTCTGTCGTTTGGAGTTTGGACCCATGTTGTCCTCGGTAGCCGATCGATGTAGATACAAAGCCATGTTATTTTACTATTTGCCTTTACAAAATTTGTCCCTAACAAGAAAAGATCTGTATCCTTTGAGAAGAAAGGGTCAACTTAAAAAAATAAAGTGTATAATAATTTTCAACAAATAAATTAATTAAAGGTTTCGAAATCAATAAAATATAAATATCTTCGAAATGAGTAAAGTAAATAATGCATACCATTTGCAATTTACTAATTGATGTATATTATATGACAAACTAATTTTTAAGTAAATTCTTGTAATAATTAAAAACAATGTTATAAAATAAAAACAAAAATTTACCCACAGACAATTTTTGGAGAATGTCCAAACAACAAACTTTATTTTTATTAGAGGAATATCTTTTTTTAGACTTTCTCTCACACACATGCAGGTTGTTAAGGAGAAGAAGAATAAAAAACAAATGAACAAAATATGAGAATACTCATTTTATTAAATGTTTAGCATTAAAAAATATAGTGTTAACCAGAAATAAAAGCAAATACAACTAATATAAAATTTTTAAAGAAATGATTAACTACACAATGAACTACAACACACTTGGATTTGCACTACAAGAAAAATCAGCATTACTTACAAAAATTTTCATAGATAATCTCATAAAAATTCGTAGGTAACTGTCAATTATCTACGAAAAATATCTATTGAAAATAAGGTCATAGATAATAGAGCTGTCAAAATGGGCTGTGGCCCGTGGGCTAAACCGGCCCACCTTAAAAACGAGACGGTCAGGCCAAAATAAATAACAATTTTATGATAAGTGGGTAAATATAAACCCGGCCCACTTTTACCCAGCCCACCAGCCCACTTATTTCTTTTATTGCAACAGCCAACCCAATAGGAACCATTCCACAATCCCCTCTTCCACTTCCAAACTTATCCTTGCGAGCCACGTCAACTCACTCACTTCAATGGCCGAAACACCCACCATTCGCTTCGGCGTCATCGGCTACGCCTAGGGGTGGGTAGATGGACCCGGGTCCGCGAACCGGTCCGTAAGCCCGCGGATTTCGCGGATAACGGACTCGTTTTTTCAAATCCGTATGATTATGTCTAATTTTTTAGCCCGGTCCGTTAAGTCCGCGGACTTGGCGGATTTAATCCGCGGGCTCGCGGGCTAGTCCGCGGACTTCACATTTAATATTTTTAAATATTATGATTTTAATATTAAGTTGTGTATTTAATTTTTTAAAATTATTATGACATTAAAATTATGTTTAGTTGGTATATATTTGTCATTTGAATGATTTTTATGACATTTTGATGCTTTTATTATTGAAAGTTTGCTACTATTATTTAAGTATTTGTAATTATTTTTATTTTAATATTTTAATATTTAGTATTTTAAACCATTTTAACTATTGATAAATTTTAGTATGATAAAATTTAGCTTATAAATAAAAAATATTTTTTTCTTCTAATTTTATGTATTTTTATTTTTAAAAAATTTATTTTTTTGAACCATTATTTAGGCCCGCGGACCGGTCCGTTATCCGCGGATTTTGGCGGGCCGGATACGGACTTAAAAAATAAGTCCATTTATTTTACGGACCGGACTTATCCGGCCCGTATAAAATGCGGGTTTTACGGACCGGGCCTTAAACGGGCCGGACCGGTCCGTATACCCACCCCTAGCTACGCCGACATCGCGCGCAAGGTCTCACGCGCCGTCACCCTCGCCCCTAACGCCGCCCTGCACGCCGTCGGCAGCCGCTCCCTCGACAAGGTGCGCGCCTTCGCCGTCGCCAACGGCTTCCCCGCCGCTGCCAAGGTCTACGGCTCCTACGAGGCTGTCCTCCAGGACCCCGTCGATGTCGACGCCGTCTACGTGCCGCTCCCCACCAGCCTGCACGTGCGTTGGGTCGTGCTCGCCGCGCGCAGCAAGAAGCACGTGTTGCTCGAGAAGCCCGTGGCTCTTAGCGCCTCTGAGTTCGATGAGATCGTGGAGGCGCCTCTGAGTTTTTCCTCAAAATCAGAAAACATATTTCAAGGGAAAGTAGTGAAGAAGAAGTGAACAGTGTTGAGCATCAACAATTGATTGAATAATAAAAGAGGTCAATAATTTCGTGGGAGCATGTCCCCACTATCGTTGACGAAGACCAAGACACTAGCACAGGGTCTTAGCCTCATAGGTCATAAATGAAGACCAAGACACCCGCGCACGGCTTCCAAGCACGTTTGTAATTTTTTTTTTTAATTTTTTGGTGGGTTGGTGGGCTGGCCCGTTTGACCCACCAACCTGTGGTGGGCCGGGCCGGGCCATAAAATGTCTGACAAAATAAAAAGTGGGCCGGGTTGGGTTGACTCGTTTTTAAGGTGGGCCAAAGTGGGCTGACCCATATGGGCCAGGCTGGCCCGTTTTGACAGCTCTAATAGATAACATTATTTACGAAAAATTTCATAGGTAACATTACCTACGGAATTTTTTGTAGGTAACGTTACCTACGGAATTTTTCATAGATAATGTTACTTACGAAATTTTCCGTAGATAACCCACGAAAGTTGTTATTTACGGATTTTATCCGTAGATAACTTTCAAAAAAAATTTGTTTAATTTTAATAAATTTATTAATGTAACAATCTTCATATTTAGCCTCTCAAGGATGTTATTTCATGACACTTTACTTCTCAACGTGTTTTGTCCTTACTGCACATTTTTTGAGAAACTTCCCAGAAGGTCACCTATCCATATATTACTATAAGTCAAGCACGCTTAACTGTAAAGTTCTGATGAGATAAACTATCAAAAAGCAAATGCATGTTATTAGTATAAGTAGCACAAATTAATTCATTTAAGTCATCCTCAACTATACAATCTCATATTTATATTATTATTATTATTATTATTATTCGTGGGTTATCTACGAAAAATTCTGTAGGTAATTACCTACGAAAAATTCCATAGATAACAACTTTTGTGAGTTATCTACGAAAAATTCCGTAGGTAACATTACCTATGAAAATTTTTGTAGATAACACCGTTCGTGGGTTATCTACAAAAAATTCCATAGGTAACGTTACCTACGAAATTTTTCGTAGATAACCCACGAAACTTATTATTATTATTATTATTATTATTATTATTATTATTATTCGTGGGTTATTTATGAAAAATTTCGTAGGTAACGTTCTCTACGGAATTTTTCGTAGATAACTAACGAAACTTATTATTATTATTATTATTATTATTATTATTCGTGGGTTATCTACAGAAAATTTCGTAGGTAACGTTACCTACAAAAAATTCAATAAATAACAACTTTCGTGGGTTATCTACGAAAAATTCCATAGGTAATGTTATCTACGGAAAATTCCGTAGATAACACCTTTCGTGGATTATCTATGGAGAAAATTCAGTACGTAATATTTCGTAGATACGACAAAAATTTTGTGGGTAATATTCCTTAAATAACTAAATATTATCTACAAAAAAAAATTTCGTAGATAATAACAATTTTTCTTGTAGTGTTGATGTCTCAATGACTCTACTCCATGACACTTCACATAATGACACTTCATACAACTCTTCGTTGGTCAAAACCTTTCACTAGTTAAAACCCTCTGTGGGTAACCCTTTTTGAGATGTTTGTCCACTTTTAGGATCAACAACTAACCCCATAAATCAATACAAGGTTTTTCAACATGCTTTTTCCTCACTTGCATACTTTTTGGAAAAAATTTTAAAAGGTCACCCATCCCTAAACCACTCCAAGTCAAGTACGTTTAATTATGGAATTCTTATGTGATAAGCTACCAAAATAATAAATGCATCATTTTGGTATAAGTAATACAAGTCAATTCATTTAAGTTATCATCAACTGCACAAATTCACACATGTACAATTTATAGATCTCTCACATTTTGGTGTGTCCAAGTTTTTACAACAACAAATTAATACCAAATCAGGTCTATTATTGCAATACATCTTAATGAACCAACCAATTGCTTGTACATGGTTAAATCTGTAACTTCTTCATCCTTTTCACCTTTCGATTTCAAATTTACCTCTATTGAAGTATTTACAGGATTACAATCTTCAATGTTGAATCTCTTCAACATCTTAATGGCATACTTTTGTTGAATTCCCTTTGGAGAATGTACAAATTCCAAGCCAATAAAATATGTCAAATTTCCCAAATTATAATCGGTTTTAAAAAGTTTTATAAAATCAGTTGAAATTTTAACTAATTTTAAAAACCTTTTAAAATCAGTCAAAATTTAACTAATTTTAAAAGTAGTGACATTATTTACAAAAATGTCACCATGTCGCTTTTAAAATTGGTCTCTTATTGACCGATTTTAAAACCCTGATGTAATAAGTGCTTTTTGTACTAGTGGTTGTGCTATCGGATTGTTTATAAGTTTGCGCAATGTCACTAGATAGGTTAAGGAATGAATTTTTTGTTTGCAACATAGAAAATGAATTGTAGCTAGATGTATGATATGATTATTCTTAATTAAAAAGGGTTTAGATAATGAATTTATAATTGAAGTAGAGGAGTTTGTCAAGAAGATTATGTAATAACCATACTTCTTGTTTGAGGGAGGAATAAGTATACTTTTAAAAGTGTAAATACATGGAGTTAGTTGGCAACTCACTCCACATAACATACTTCTTGTTTCCCATCTCATTAAAGAGAGACATACATAAATATTGAGATAACAAGTTTATATCAACCTAAAACATCAAGTCCCAATGTATGACTTGGTTCAAGTCGTCTTATATGCCTTAACATTCTTAAAAGGATGAAAATGCTTTAACTCAAACCATTACCCCTACACCAAGTGATGCTCACTACATTAAGTTTCAAATAAATGACTACTAGAACTAGATATTAGATTTTGATCCATGTATACAAGATTTGATAACGATATTATCAATAATTATAGCAACAAGTAGTAAAATCTTATTTTGTTACTAGGAAAAAAAAAACAAAATACTTCTAACTTTTGCCTATTATAAACCAACTTTTCTATTGATCAACATTCATTTGTCACAAAATTATAGTTTATTATAATTAAGTTTTACTAATTAATTTATTATCATCATATAATTGTCCTTAATGTAAAACTTTTCGTAATGACATATCTTGACCAAGATCACCCAATTATGACCTCCAAACACCTTGAACTCTATAAATATTGCAACCTTAGTTAAGTAAAATTCAAAAAATTTAACCTTATAGTAATTTTCCTAAAATCTTTTTTAGCATAGATGCATAGATATCAAACCATCCAACAATAACCAAAAGAGTTGAGTGTAAGGGAAGGATTAATCCCTTACAATGTAACGAATTAAGAGTTGAATTTTTATTGAAAGATATTTATATTTAATATATAATCATGTTTTGAATATAATTATTCTTTTTTGTCTATGAAGATGGTTTATATAATATTTTAAAATTGATAATTAAAAATTAATTTATACATTAAAAGTAATACCATGGTAAAAAATATCTAAAAATATTTCTCATAAGCCATAAAAAGGGAAGTCATACCATTAGGAGCAAACCGTATCTCGGATTTTGAGAAATTAGAAATAAGCTTTCATTATTTAGTTTGAATTTATCTAAGCAAGCCATGCCATTTTCAACCGTACGCAGTCAGTCACATTGTTGAGTTGGGCTGTGATATACACTCAACAAGACTACAAGAAAAAATAGGTCAAGAATTTGGTAAAGAAATGGAAACTTAGCTTGATTTGAACCACGCGGTCAAGTCATAGAAAATCAATTATTATTTTTTGGAACATCGTTGAAATCTAAAACTTAAGTTCTTGGGCAAGCCAGAACCTATATCAATAATTGTGAGTTAATGCAACCACTACACAACACTGAGTAAAGCATTTAAAGTCAAAAGGTACAGTTGTTTACATGTGGGGATATTTATTAAGCAATTGGCTATGATTTTTTTTATATAATAAACCCAATTCAGGCATTATTTTAAAATTAATAATTAAATATTAATTTATATTGGTAAAACTAAAACATATTTTTTTACTAAATATTATTTTAATATCGACAAAAATCAGTTCTAATAATACCAAGTAGATATTACAACCAAAAAATAATAAGATTTAAATTTGAAAACATTTTGCATGTATTATTCCAACCTCAGCAATCAAAGTGACTATTGATTTAAATCAACGATTTTTGTATAAAGAATTGGATGAGGACAAAGATTAAAGAAAAAATAAAATAAATATTTAATGCTATTAATTAATATATTGTGGATGAGATAAATTAAATACATGTTTGGTCTTGTATTAATTACTTAATTTATCGCAAAGAAGATACAAATAATAATTTGTGCATTACAAATGTCAAAACCGAATTAATTAGATACGCAGAATATATATAATAAATGATCACTTCTCATCTAGGTACGTTTCCACAAAAATTAATGAAGAATCAAAAGATGTGTGTATAGATAGAAAATGAGGTGCAGAAGTGTGACACATTAAAGCAGTGTGACACCTCCCACGCCGAAAATAGAACAGTGTGATGATTAAAGCAGTGTAACCAATGTCCATATCATATCATATGCGTATTTTTATTAATTTTTATTTTATAATATATAAATTAAAAAATAATTAGTATTTTCTATACGTTAAATTTACTTTAAATGTCTCAATCTAATAACTAATATTTATTATTATTTTTTCTCTTATTTATAATAAATATTTAGAGTATTTAAAAATTAAATAAAAATAATAATATAACTACAAATATAATTTAATAATTAAATTATTTTAAAATTTTAAGTAGATAAATAAACAGTAGCAATTTTTCTTGTAAAAGTAGAGAAATTAAATGGAACGGAAGAATAAAAATGAAACTTTTAAACCTTTATTTTCGTATCGTCAATCATATATTCCGTATAAACATATACGTAAATAATACGTAGTAAATTTACTTAATTCAGTGTTGTTTTGATTTTTATTAACTATTATCAAATCATGTTAGATCACTGCGGTTAGTTTACTGGTTGAGAGGAGAAAGATCGAGATAGTTA